AACATCATGCCCGTGTTGACGCCATCTACGGCTACTCCGGGCAGTCAACCCAAACTCACTCCGGCCAGCCTGAAGCAAATGCCAGGCACGATTGCATGCTCGGCTCAAACCGACAAGCATCCGCGTCAACTACAACAGCGTGCTTTCCCGCGAATGACAATTGTCGACGGGACTCGTCCCCTGCATGTTGGTAGAAGTATGTGAGAGAGGTCTTTCATGTGAAGCCCACTGCCAGGCCAGGAATGCATCCCAGAATCAACAGCCTTGAAAGCGTAAGGGCTGAAAAGCTCTAGTTGAGCATGCGCTTGCCGCAAATGACCATATTCGGTGGGGGCTGGTCCCCGGCAATTTCGGCAAAAGTAAGTGAGAGGTGTTCGATGTGAAGCTGAATGCTAGACGGGCACTGCATACTTGAATCAGATCCCAACACGCGCAGGCCTTGAAAGCGTAATTGAGGGCTGGAAAGTTGCAGCGCTGCCGTTCCTGCAAGGAAGGTGCGCAGCTCAAATGTGCATCATGGGCGCAGGCGAGCAGTACTGTGTCCAGCCGCAAAAGCAGTCTCAAGCCGCAACTTGCAACACAGCTCTGGGCGACGCAAAGCTGGCGGGTCCAATGTCGTGCCGTGCTGAAGTCAAGGCAACATGATGCTCGTCATGATGCTGTCTAATGCTACTCCTGGCAGGCAACAGCAAGTGCTAGACACGATTGCATTGTTGAAGTGAATTTCGACACGCTCCAAGTGTTGTGCCTGCCACGACAGCAGTCCGAAGCTGAGGCTGGCCACGAAGCTCTGGGCAAAGCGAAGCTGTTGGGGTCCCACAGCCCCGTGCTCTGGTTGTAGGCGACGTCAGTCAGCAGAAAATGCACGTGGCCCATGTTGCTTCTTTGCTTTAGGTCCTACACCGAAGCTTGCCCCACATAAAAAGGACAGCTCTGTGCAGGACAAGGCGTCTCGCCACAGCTGCAGGACAAGGCGTCCAATTCAAGAAGCGCGAGCGCACATGCGCAGCACTGCCCCCGACAGCCGCAGCAGCCTCAAGCTGCAACTTGCGACAAAGTTCTGGGCAAAGCCAAACTGGCGGATGGCTCTGTGCTTTGCTCAAGACAAGGCAACTTGATGCTATCCATGATGTCATCTAACACCCCTCCTGCACGCCCCAACACAGCCCCTTCCAAACAAGCTCTTCTGAGCTTTGCGTGAAGCGAGCCACTCAAGCAAATACTTGCATCATTGAGTCGAATTTCAGCGTGCCAGCCATAAAAGCGCCGATGCGCTGAAAAGTAGCAGCGCTTCCGCTGCAAGTGCACGGAAGCTGTGCGCCTGAAAAGCTGTGAGGGCAGGCGGCCACTGTGTCTACCAGCTGCAGTCTGCCACACAGTTCTGGGCAAAGTGAAGCTGGTGGAGTCCATGTTCAAAGTCAAGTCCCAACCCTCCGGCTCCACAAGGGTCCCGGCGATTTCTGGCGAGGCTTAGGGTTGAACATTCGCGGTTGTCTTTTTGAAATATGTATCATCCAATTCCCTTGCATTTGCTTAAGAATATATTTTACTCCCCCTGTCCCCTGTTGGTTTTAAAGGCATTCTATGACTACTGGATTGCTTTTTTAGAGGAGTCAAGGCAGCATCACGCCCCTTATGGTGCTACTCCTGGCAGGCAACAAAAAGGGAACAACAACCTCCTTCCTGCAAGCTGCTCCTGGCAGCCAACCCAACTTGCTCCGGCCAGCCCCTGAGGCAAAGGCACGGTTCATCATTGAATTGAATTTCAGCGGATTCATTTCGAGGCAGAGGGTCGGCTCAAACCAACCAGCATCCGCATCAACTGCAATAGCATGCTTCCTCACAAATGACAATTTTCGGCGGGACTCCCCTGCATTTTAGCAGAAGCAAGCAAGAGGAGTCTTTGATGTTACGCGGCAATTGCGAGACATGCAAGGGGGGCGAGGGGCATGGCATCCCCAAATATGTGTCTTTCGGTGCGCCATCTTGCACCGAGCCTTTTGCGCCAACCTGCAGCGACTTGCAAGTTGCATGTAGTTGAGCATGCGTTCTACCGCGAATGACCATTTTCGGAGGAGACTGGTCTCCAGCAGTTTAGTCAGAAGTAAGTGGGAGGGCATAAGTAAGCGGGAGGTTTTGGATGTGAAGCTGAATGCTAGACAGGCACTGCATACCGTATCAAATCCCAGCACGTGCAAGCCTTGAAAGCGCAAGGGCTGAAAAGTTGCAGCGCTGCCGTTCCTCCAAGGAAGGTGTACGGCTCAAAAGGCGCGAGCGCAGGCGCAGGCCGGCGGCAGAGTGTCTGCCAACCACAGCAGCAACCTCAGGCTACAACTTGTCACCCAATTGCTGGCAGAGCCAAGATGGTGGGATCCAACAGCCCCGTGCTTTGCTCAAGTCATGGCAGCATGATGTCCCCATTGACGCCATCTACTGCCACTCTTGGCAGTCAACCCGAACCTACTGTCAAGCAGCGTTACATACAAGCGGTTCTTAATGCCTTCATGTTGCCGAACCTTTTGCTTCCTCAGGCCAGGCCAGGAGGGGCGCATCATATGTTAAATGCAACGTGCGGCAAAGTGTGCCAGAATTATAGTGTGCTTGGGCTGGGCACTGCGAGTTTGGAGTTGATGTGTTCAATCCCTTCAACTCTTTGGGTGCAAAACAGTACCAGGCTTCCGGAACTGGGCTTCGGGGTTCTGAATCCCGCACATCAGTTGCTCAGCCTCAGCAATGCAAATGTTTAGCGCCAGTTGTCTTACCACGGACTTAGCGGGGAGGATAATGTCAAGTTATAGCTGATGTCAGCCCATGCCACATGCAAGTGCCCCGTGCTGCTTCTTTGCTTTAGGTCCTACACCGAAGCTTGCCCCGCTTCAACAGGACAGCTCTGACAAAAGCTACACAAGCTCGGCATTCTGAGGTGCACGAGCGCTAGGCGAGCGGAAAGGCTTCAAAAGACTTAGCGTCAAACCTTCGTAGTCGGAGCTTCCTAAGGCACGCGGCCAGGTCGGTTCATTCCAACGCCACTTGCTGGCAAGGTCATTGCAAATTACTGCCATCCGAGCGGTACCTGCTCGCTCTCAATTCAAGCTGCAGATGGCGTTCTCACGAAAGCCTAGCCAAAGTGCAACCTCTTGTGAGCTACCTGGATGCGAAGCCAGCCACGGAAGCAAACGCTGGAGCACAGTGGAGTTTCAACGCACGCCGGCCTTGAAAGTGCAAGAGCAGTGATGCAACTTCACCAAGGTGCCACCTATGCCCGCCAACAGCCGTCTGAAGCTGAAGCCTTGCCGCGGCGTTCTGGGCAAGGCCAGGCTGGTTGGGCCCTGGCTCCGGTCAAAGCCACATGATGGCATCGATCAAACATAAATAACATGCCTTTAGCGACAGTTCAAACACGCGATTGCGTGCGTTAAACCATTGCCCGAAGCTGCACGGCCCCTCATAGGTGCTACAAGCATCGCTCGATCCTGAAGGTCAGTACGCTTCTCCAAACCAGCTCTGCACCTCAAACCCGCTGATGCGTTGTGGGCTGAAAAGGGCCTCAAAGTCACAAGATGCGGCTGCCAAAGGGGGCCTTTTCAGGATTCGACCCCCCTTGGGAACTTACGGATCAACCTCGTGCGAGCAACCTTGGCTCAGTCAAAGCAATCTACAGCTGGCACCTCACGCCGAGAGCCAGCGCCGTGTCCGCCAACCGCAGCAATCTGAAACCGAAGCTTGCCACGAAGTCCGAAGGCAACACGTGCTGAGATGAGCCTCAGCCTTAACAGCTGCTTTATGCAGGAAGCCTGGCTGAAACATGCCTCTGCCGAGACAAGAGGACCTATACTGTCATTGCCCCGGTTGAATTGGCACCTTAAGTTGTTTGCAGCCCAGGCGCCGGGCAACAATGTCTTGCACCAATGGCCATGTGTTCCTGCAATTCACAACAAAATCATCTCGCACGTCGGCACGTTGCCCACATCTCTCTGAGTCAAGGCATGGCATGTGCAAATGGCCAAGGCCAACACAGTCCATTGCCTTGAGCCAAACCTGCCAATGAACGATCGCGCCATGGGTTTGGAATGGCCGTAAATCTCAGACCGTCAAGACCCTGAGTGGCCAGGTGTTCATATTGCGTGGGGCTTAACAAGGGATCGGGCTTTGGGTGGATGTTTGAGGGTGCTTCTTTGAAAATCGGGCTCCAAAGGCATTCCAAAGCCTGAGTAAGCCCGCCCTACTAAGTCCTAATGAGCAATGACCAGACAAGCACCGGAAATTCTAGCACCGACTGCAAACAACCGCGTTTCAATTGGATTAGAAACTGCCAAGAACGGGAGACCACGTCTGGGCAACCAAACCAGACGTAAGGTCAAGGACACGGCATTGCCTCGCGTGAGTGGGGGGGCAACGAAAAAAGAACATCCGGCTGGGTTCTTCACGTATTGCACGGAGACAACCAGGGAGACAAGTGGAGAGACACGCGGGGAGACAAGTGGGGAGACAAGTGGAGAGACGAGTGGGGAGACGAGTGGGGAGAAAGCACGAGTACAATCAACTAGATGTTTGCGAGCTCCCTTCGCAGCTCAAACATCCGCTAATGGCTGGGACCAGCGGATTTGCTTCTGGCTCTGTCATTGAAGCAAATGAACGGCTGGCACATCCACAAGTTCGCAGCCCAAGCGCCGGGCACGCATGTCATTAATCAATAGGTAGCTGAATGAACTTAGGTTTGGAGCTCGTCTGGCATCACCTCGGCATGTTGGGAGCAGTCCTCTTCGAGTCAAGGTGTAATCCAAATATGGTGGGGGGAAGCAGCCCGTACTGCAATTTCCAGATGACCTGATCCCTTTATCACAGAAGCAACCCAAATCAATCACCATGAGTCACGGACCAACAACAACTGCGAAACAGTTTCTGGACTCCCAACATGAGACGCCTGCACTTTTTGCAGAACGACCAGTGCATCCGGCCAAAAGAGGAAGAGAACAAAGAAAAAAAAAGCGGCCGTCGCTTCAATTCGGGCTCCTGTCGAAGAGGTGCAGAGCCCAAGACCACTGGAAGCCCTTCTCGCAGGCCGAGATGGCTGCGCTGTATGTGATCACGTCCGCTGCTGCCGAGACCTGTTTGTAGCGGGGAAAACCGGAAACGCGGGGGCTTCCGCAGGGGAAATATGCTTAAACAACGAGGCCCCTGGCAGGTGGTTTCAATCATACTGGCTTGAACAAATTTTGAGCAAGTGGCAAAGGCCCAATCTTGGTTTCCAGGGGTTGCCACTTGCCACGAAGCTTGACTGAAGGTTCATGGGACTTTGGGTAGGGTAAACGGGGTAAAGCCGGAAACTGGGATCATTGCCCTACCGCTTGAGGGCAAAACGCCATCGTCCAGTGGACGGGTTGGGTGGGTACCGCAAGTCAGGCCACATGTCGCCACCAAGCCTGTGCCATAAGCTCCAGGACCTGCAAAGCCTTGGCCGACCGAAAGTGGAGCAGGCGTCCGCCTCCCCTTCCGACCAACGGGGCAAACCGTGCACAACGCCACCAAAAACGGAAGGAACGGAGCCTTCCAGGTGGGGCAAACCATGCCTTCAGGTGTCCTTCCTTTGAAGGGTGAAGCCCATTGCGCAGTAGCTCTGCAAGAACTGGAGAACTTGCTTGGGACTGATCCTTTTTGGTTTGGAAAACCACCAACCGAAAAGAAAAAATGTTGAGCGCCGCGGAGTTCACTGTGGGGAAAAATCAAGTCGACCGCGGCAAACCTGGGCCAAAGGTAGGCCCCTGCCAAGCAAAGCTTGCTTGCCGTTTCGGCAAAAACAAGTCGAACCCCAAAGGCCAAACGGGCAAAAGCCGATCAGGCAAGAAGCCATGAGCCATTCTCCGCACTTCTCGCAGGCCGAGATGAGGCTGTTGTAGGTGACCACGTCCGGCAACAGCTTGGCCTGGACCAGTTCGAAGCTCCCTTGGGGATCCTTCGATTCTCATCATGAACGTGCCCATTTCACCCTCACTGAAGTCAACTCGAGTGAGTGGTGTTTATTCCCCTCAAACTTGGATATAATGTGGGCCCCCTTCCGCGAAGCTTCCGCTGTGCTGAGGGGTACCTGCCGCAAAGTATTCTTTTCTAAGTGCTTCCGCCTTCCGCGGAGCAGGTTTCCACTTGGTAGCTTCGCAGAAAGGACTTTGTATGCATTGCAACCAAACAGCTGGTAAATCAGAAGTGACGACAGAACGTGATGCTGCGAGCTTCCGCAGTAAACGAATCAGGACAACCTTCCGCAAACTTTCCCGCTGCTGCCGTGGGGCGCCATTGTTGGTTCCATATGCCCACCCCTAGTCACTTTTGGTTGAGCGGCAAAACAAGCCGCCAATTGGACTTGCCATCCGATTCTCCATGTTGGGTTTGGAACTGGCCACAGCCCTTTTATAGGTTGAAACTCAATGCCAAGTGCACCTTTAGGCCCTTTCCGCGGTTGCTTCAGTTGCGCAGGCCTCCTTACCTCATGCTCTCCGCCTTGCTAGCTGAACCCATGGGATCACAAGCCGGGGTTGGGTTCACCCAGAAACGACGCCGGTTTCTGACTTCGCCCAATGCTCCAAGTGGAACCGTCTCCCGCCCAAATTTTCTCCACACCCAGACCTCCAGTGGCCATGGCGACGAAAGGGCACCGGGTTTTTCGGTCGCTGATGTTAAAAGGGCACTGTGTGGATTCCGGAATCGCGTCGGAGTCCTGCGGCATGTTCTGTGACACGTGCATCGCCAGCTCCCAGCGGGTCGTCTTTTCACAGGCGCTGATGGCGCTGTTGCAGCCTGGCAGGAACTCGCAGCCCTAGGTGTCGCGATGCTGCGATGAAAAGCCCATCCGCTGGAATTGGAGCTTCGGCTTGTTAAGACCCTTGGAAAACGGTGTTTTGCTGGGCATCTGTTTGAACTTCCCGATTGCTCCACCCATGCACTTTGCTTCGGCAACACCGCGCGGGCGAAAGGCACCGAGGTCGGGCGAGGGAAACAAGTGATCGTGGAACGTGGCGGGAGGCCCCTTTTGAATATGGTGCCCATGGACAGCCAGGTTGCATGCTGGCAAGTAGTGTACGTTTGGGTGAAAACCTGCGGGGCAATTCAACTTCCTTTCTCAGCGCTGCATTCATCAAAGGAGAAAACACCATGCCGGATTTCTGGTCAACCATTTTGGCCAAAATGAGCGAGCCGAGGCCGAAGTCGCTTGCATTGCAGACATGGCAGCTGATTTCGTCAGGGAAGATGTCGGACTCCAACTGCGCCTGGGACTCCCACTGGTCATGGGCATGCTCCATGTCCAAAAGAAGGCAACTCCTACAATGTCTCCTGGCTTGCCAACCACCCCCACCCCCCACCCCCCCAAACCCAAAACCCAACAAAACAGAGAGCCAAAGAAAAGAGGAAGCCTGGCAAGAAGAAAGAAGGAGCTCACGTGTGGTGACTGTTGCAGCCTGTTGCTCTGTTGGCGCCGCCAACCCAAACCAGCACGGCACACAGCTC